TTTGCGAAATACCGAATCTGAGACAAATACGCGGCAGAGCGTTCACACGCTGATTCGCGGCTCCAGAAATACGGTATTTGCGAGCTGCGAGCTGCAATTAGCTGCGGCTTATTATTGAAGTAACATAAATCGCAAAAGCATCTGCTCTTCTTCTAGGCAGTAACGCCACAATAGCCGCGTTCACACGTAGCAAGAAATCCGGTATTTAGCGTTCACACGAGGCAAAATGCGCGGTCCAAGAAATACGGTATCTAAACAGATCCGGTATTTGATGTAAATACGCGGCTTTTCAGACCCCGAATAATTTGCCGTGCGCCAGATTTTTTGGACCGCGCATTTCCTCGTGTGAACGCTAAATACCGGATTTCTGAAGCCGCGTATTTTATAGACTGGTCCGTGCTCGACAGTTCGAGTGTAACGCGAGTGGAACTGTTGAGCGCGGACCAGTCTACGTATTTTATCGGCAGTTGGTGTGCATTGCATTGTTTATTTCGCATTGTTCGCTTGATTGTTTAAAGCAGCTCGCAGCTCGCAAATACCGTATTTCTGGAGCCGCGAATCAGCGTGTGAACGCTCGGCCGCGTATTTGTCTCAGATTCGGTATTTCGCAAATACCGTATTTCTGGAGCCGCGAATCAGCGTGTGAACGCTCGGCCGCGTATTTGTCTCAGATACGGTATTTCGCAAATACCGTATTTCATAAATACGAGGTCTCGTGTGAATGAGGCTAGTATCTGCTTTCTGTCTGTTATGTGGAGGTATCACCGCACTAATATACGTCAGAAGAGTATCTGCCTCCTCTCTGTTATGTGGAGGCAGCACTGCAGTAACATAATCATGAGTGCATCTGCCTTATTCAGTAGTTCTTCCTCATTAACAGAAGCCACAAGTCTGTACCCCCCCCCACCCTTCCATCTCCACTATCCCTTCCTACTACCACACACATGGGCGCACTGGTGGCCCAGCGGATGCGATACGTTACTTCACGCTCAAGTTTTTGCCACTGCTGTTGTGCCCTTGAACGAGACACTTGATCCACAAACTTGAGCCACACTTTATCCCTAAATGGCTTCAGCCGACACTTGCTATAGAAATCGGGTTTTGTCTCATTGGCAGACAGACTCACACTTGCCCACATAACAGCGAGCAGATTGCCAGGAGGGTCTGCCAACCCGAGACCTAAAGCCCGGCGCACACGTGGCGATTTTTATCGACAGTACCGGCGATTCTGTTGCCAGCAACAAAATCGCCGAGAAATCGCCACGTGTGCGCTGCCTGGCGTCACCGATTTTGACGCCAGAAACTCGTCGCTGGAATATCAAACATGTTTGATATTTGTTGCCGAGTCGCTGAACAATCGCTACGTGTGCGCTGACCAGGCGACAGATTCAGGCAACAGTTTTTGGATTAACCAATCAAGTGCATGATTTGAAGCCCGTGATCAAATATTGGCAGCGCCCGTGGTGTGGTTTGAACAGGTCACGTACAGTTCATACAGTGGTATGTCGCTGACAGATGGTTAAATTGTCGCCGGGTGGCGCACACGTGGCGATTTTTATCGACCGTACCGGCGATAAAAATCGACGGTACTGTCGATAAAAATCGCCACGTGTGCGCCAGGCTTAAGCGACGCAGTTGCTGAGACCCTCTTTCCTCCTCCACAATCGGAGCCGAAACGGGGGAGACGCTACACGCGCTGACTAATTACGCTTTGCCTTGCAGGCTTTGTCGTCACGCAGCTGGTGACGTCGTGCGGCTCGGACGGGCACAGCATGGCGCTGACGGAGAGCGGCGAGGTGTTCAGCTGGGGCGACGGCGACTACGGCAAGCTGGGGCACGGCAACAGCGACCGGCAGCGGCGGCCGCGTCAGGTCGAAGCTCTGCAGGGGGAGGAGGTCGTACAGGTGTGTGTGGGAGGCTGTGTCACGCGCCAGCTGAAGATGTTAATTAATGCAGCATCGACGATTGCACCGCCGCAGCCCCCGGGGCGGCGGGAGTGTAGCACTGATGTAGTGCGTTAGTCTCCGAATAGCAATTCTGATAAAATACTCGGCTTGACAGCAGTATATAGCATTATACTCGGGAGTAATAGTATACTAGGATAGGATAATATATAGGGCAGCATAATAGTTATCTCTGCATTCCTCTATATTTATATAGGATAACATCATATTAAAGATAACACATAGGAATATATAAGATAACATATAGGACAGGAAAATACTCAAAATAACATACAGTGTAGGATAATACCTGAGTTGACAATATGGGATAAGATAATACTGAAGATAACATACAGGACAGGATAACAAATACTCAAGATGACAGCATGGGATCGTTCTCCTGTTGTGCCTGCTCATTAAAATACGTAGTGAGTATTTTAATTACTCCCACTGCAATTACGTTAGTCGTGCGTCTCATAAGCTCTTGTTGCGCTGCTGATATTCGTGGCGTTTTTGTCGTAAGCGCGTGATTTTTACACTGCGCGTGTGACTTCATGCTTGCAGATGGCATGCGGGTTCAAGCACAGTGCTCTTGTGACTGCCGATGGCAAGTTGTACACGTTTGGTAATGGCGACTATGGCAGACTGGGCCACGGTAACACATCTAACAAGAAAGTTCCCGAGAGGGTTGCGGCTTTCGAAGGATATCACATCGGTTATGTACGTATCGTAGGAAAGTGGCATTAAGCCCTGTAGAATTTGCCACGCTGATATATTATTACCACAATTCACTGATCATGCATGGCCTTCACGAAGTTTTTTTCCAAGAAATCGTTCATGAAGTGAGATAATTATCACAAATTTTTAAAGTTATGTGGCAAACTAGCTCATTTGAGTTGACTCAATTTAGCTTGATTTTTTTATTGTAAAAATGCATTTTAATAATGCAATTACTGTTTGGTAATTGCGTTTTGCAAAAAAATTTGCAAATTTTGAGTCACCTTGTACTTTAATATGCTAGTAAAAACGAATTATGTCACTGCGTGTCTGAGTTATGCAGTGTTTTGTACTCCACAGGTTGCATGTGGCCTTAACCACACGTTATGCATGTCATCTGACGGCAACACAGTGTGGAGCTTTGGAGATGGAGACTATGGAAAACTGGGGCTGGGAAGTTCCACGGCTAAGTCCTTGCCACAGAAAGTGGCGGGCCTAGTCGGACTGGGAATGAAGAGCGTGCACTGCGGCACTCAGTTCTCCATCGCACTCACAAGAGACGGCAAGGTCTACACGTTTGGACAAGGTGAGGGCCGGATTCCATGCCACTGTCGCCATCTGCTTAAATCCCAGCTAGCTGCCAATCCAGTTTGCAAGGCAACTCACCTCTATGTGCTCAGATCTAGCATTATATGGTTTTCCTGTGAGTCTTCAATAAGAAGATTTCTGTGCAATGAAATTGGATAAAAAAAAATACATTTAAGCGCTTTTGGCTTATTATAAGTATTAGTAATCATAGCAGCAGTAGCACTAGTAGCAGCAGCAGCAGCAGTAGCACTAGCAGCAGCAGCAGCAGCAGCAGTAGTAGTAGTTATAGTTATGATAATTATAACGTATGAATTTTAACGCTCTGACCATAATGATAATTACTGACCATCATCATCATCATCATCACCATCATCATCATCATCATCATCATCACCATCATCATCATCATCATCACCATCATCATTATCATCGGCTGCAGCAGCGCATATTATCAGTGTAACTACAGACTGTACACTCTCTCTTTCTCTCTGTGCGCGCGTCGCCTCAGATCGCATGATCGGCCAGCCCGAGGCGCGCGCCCGCCAGCACAACATCGCACAGCAGCTTCCCGGCATGATCGCCGCCGTCGTCGTCGACGCGGTCGCCGTCGGCTCGGAGCACACGCTCGCGCTGACGCACACGCGGGAGGTGTACGGCTGGGGCAACAACAGCGACGGACAGCTGGGCGTCGCGCACGCGCAGTCCGTCAGGGAGCCTCAGCTTCTCTCTGCGCTCGTCGGCAAGGAGATAAAGCAGGTGGGTTATCGAGGATGACGGATGAAGAGAGGGGAGAGTGAGAAAAAAGGAAGGAGAGATTGAGGAGAGAGGAGAGATAATGGGAGAGAGAGATTGAGGAGAGGTGGAAGTTGCAGGAAGTGTTGGAGGGAGTGAGAAAGAGTGGTGTGGAGGGGGGGAGAAAGAATGAGAGAAATAATGAGAGAAGAGAGAGAGACAGAGAGAGCGAGAGAGAGAGAGAGGGAAAGAAAGAATGAGAGAAGAGAGAGAGAGATAGAGCGAGTAAAGTAGAGTACCATCAGACATGCACATCGCTGAACGTTGTGATCACAGCTAGCTACTCACAGCTTCAGTCACGCCAGCGATTCTCCTGCATTGCAGATATCTGCAGGCAGGACACACAGCGCAGCGTGGACGGCACCTCCCTTACCTCACAGGACTCCGGGAGCGCCCGCTCCTCTCCAGCTAGGTGAAGCCTATTGTTTTGAAAGCTGTTGTTTTGAGGGCTATTGTTTTCAAAGGCAGAAGCAACAGTTTCGTCAACAGTTTTCATTGTCGTGAGCATTTTTCATTTTACATGTCGGGTTTTTATGTGTGTTGGAATCGGGCCCAGTAGAATCTATTGCGCTTCCCTTTTCCATTTTATTATGTTATTGTGTATCACTTGGATTATGTTTCTAGGTCTCCCGACGTCGATACCGCCTCAGTACTCGGCTTTGAAAGACTGTGATATTCAAGCCATCTGCAAGCGACTCAGGCTCCTTTACCATTTCTCTGATCTTATTCTCTCCTCGTGGAGACTTCTCAACCTCATTCCAGACAAAAGCTTAGTCACGCCATACAGTAGGTATGTGAAACCAAATGCGTTCATCAGACATGCTAATAAAGATAATCAATGATTATAGTCTATTTTCTTCACAAAAAGTCGTTCTAAAGCATAAAAGAGGCTCCATTGTATGACAGTATGAATTGTTATGTGACTGTGAAGAAATACTGCACTGAAATTGTAGGAGAAAATGTTACGTGTGCCATGAAAAAATAACTCATTACCAATTTAAAAGTCGATGCTGCGTCTAGTTGTTGTTACTTTGAACGAGCAATAACTGTATGTTTAAAAATAATGTGTAAAATCGACACTTTACACAAATGCTAGGCGGTGTTTGCATTACGAGTGTTGGCATTTCGTTTCTTTCAGTGGTCTTGAGGGTCTGATACAAGGGCCTCTGCGCTCTCTCCTGGCACCTCGTGTCTACACCTTACCGATGGTCAGGGTGACAGGGAGAACAATGGTGCAGGGGAAAAACTACGGTCCACAGATCACTGTCAAGCGTCTCGCGACACGGTATGCCCCGTGAGAATCCATGCTGTCGACACACGTGTTAGGTTTACATGTCGACGGACGTATAAACATATTTCGAAGTCAAAATGTTGTGAATCAGAAACGGTTGCACTTCATTATAAGATGATGTAGACTCAGACGATGACACACACACGCACGTACGTACGCACGCACGCACGCACGCACGCACGCACGCACGCACATACACACAGGTGCGTGCCCTCACTACCACGGCCTGAACTCCTCCCAGAACCAGTCTCCCCCGAAACATTTAAACAGCACACTGCATCCCTGTCGGAACCCATTCACATTTAACTACTGAACTATTACAAAAGATGCGCCTATTACTAAACAAACAAGATCTTTGTGTGGCTGAGATACAAGGTGCTACATAGAGCTACCATCTACATATTGTATTTTGGTTCAGTATGTGCATCTGTGCTTGGCCCGCCTGACCTCATTCACACAGGTTCGCACAAAACAAACAAAAAACAAAAAACGGTGTTTTTCCTTGTGCATGTATGCAGGTGCCTAATAATTATCCACATTATTGAGCACACCGTAAATCGATCGGTGCCTTCATCGTTAACCTGGCAAAAATAGCGACGCTGGCGTGATGCTAATATAGCGTTCTGCCGGCCACAGGGGGAAGAAATGCAAGCCGATCTTCATCCAGATTTCTCAGCAGGTGGTGAAGCTCAACCCAGCTGATCTACGGCTGCCGGCGAGAGCCTGGAAGGTAACACACAGACTCCACACTCAGTATGCGCTGCTGCTCCCCTTGTCCCCAGCATGTTCTATTCTCTATGTGTTCTATTCTCTGTGTTTTATTCACTGTTCGGTACCCTACGTGTCCTATTTATGATGTGTTCATTTCTCTGTGTTATATTCTCTTCTCTCTCTCTCTCTCTCTCTCTCTCTCTCTCTCTCTCTCTCTCTCTCTCTCTCCTCATGTGTTTTATTCGCTGTGTCGTATTCTATGTGTTATATTTTTGTGTTATAATCTCTATGTGTTTTATTCGCTATGTGTTCTACTCCCTATGTATTTTATTCGCTGTGTGTTCTATTCTCTATGTGTTTTATTCTATATGTGTTCTATATTCTCTGTGTGTTCTTTTCTATATATACTATATTCTCTATTGGTTTTCTTTTCTGCGTATTCTATTCTCTATGTGCTGTATTCTCTCTGTGTCCTGTTCTCTGTGCGTTCTATCGATTGGCCCTGCAATCTGTATCTTTCTCAATCCAATGATGTAACTGTTTGTTTCGCTGACCGGCCATCAAACACACGCGGCCTAGCTTGTCTGTCATTTAATTGCCTGGCATGGCCTGCCTACGTAAAATGCCGTTCGCATAGTGATCACAGTGTGTGGGGGAATTTCCAGCAGATAATGGGGAACATCGGACTGCCGTCGGACCAAAGCTCTTCTCGCAGGTAATTAGCCAGCTGCTTTGCGACGGATCAGCTCACAATCACATGTCGGTTGTCATGCATTTGGCGTCCGTCCGTCGTCATTTAGCGCGCTGTTGCCGTGGTTACAGGTGAAGCTGGTCGGCGAGGGAGCGGACGATGCGGGCGGAGTCTTCGACGACACGATCACTGAGATTTGTCAGGAGCTGGAGAACAGCACCGTGTCGCTGCTCATCCCGACACCGAACGCGTCCAGCGAGGCTGGCTACAACCGCGACCGGTACGACACTGCCGCTCCTCCTGACTCATGTCATCCCGGGGGGCCTTGTCAGAAACATCGTAAAGTTAATGTTAGGACTGATTTTGTTTCTGACAACGGGCCCTTGACGTATCTGCTTTATGTATATATTCGCGTTTGTCTGTATGTGTATCTCTTTCAGTTTGTCGTCAATTTATCATGATTTTTTTTCGTTTTAGTATCATTTATGTCATGTATCTATTAAAGTTTGTCTATGGGCATATATATATATCCATTTCAATTCGTCATTAATTCATCTTCATCTGTTTCCATTCAACATCATCTATTTAATTGATCCATTAATGGTTGTCTATCCAATTCATTATTAATCATCAACTGTTTCTATTCGATGTCATCAATTTCATATATATATATTAGGGTTTATCTCATAGCGGTTATTACTGTCGGCTCACTTTGAATTTCTCTGTAAGAATACTACTGCATGAAATAATTTTGGATGGCACGTTTTTAAAATTGTTTCCCATCAATGACTCTGATATATAAGATTATCATTATTTTATTTATTTATCGTTTTTGTGTGCATTATTTGTTGTGTTTGTTGCGATTTCTTTTGCAGAGTGTCTCACTGTCATGACTTCTTGTTGTTCGCCTCTTGTGGTTTTTAATTTAAATTGTCTGTGTTGCAGGTTTTTGTTAAATCCAGCACTAACTTCAGAAGAACATCTCCAGCAGTTTAAATTCTTAGGCATCCTCTTTGGTGTGGCTGTTAGAACCAAGAAACCTTTAGATCTGCATTTGGCACCCATGGTATAGTTGAACAAAATCTATAAATCGATAACTATAGTGCCTGAGAATAAAATATTGATTAATCTTCACTAATGAAACTGAATAATCACATGTTTGTATCATCATGAATAGAAGCTTGTGACAATGCCGGAACTGCCTCTATAATAAATTTTGTGCGAGGATTCTACCTGGTGTGTATAGTTTTTCAAAATGTTACAAAATCTCTCTGTATCAATTTCATCTATCTTTCCCGTGTATCTACCTATACACTCGCTCCTTCACCCCTACCTCGTCCCACTCTCTCCCTCTCCCTCCCCTGGCCACTACATTCTTCCCACTCTCCCACTCTCTCTTCGCTATCCATCTCCCTGCCTCCCTCACTCCCACGCTTCCCCTTCTCTCTCTCTCTCTCTCTCTCTCTCTCTCTCTCTCTCTCTCTCTCTCTCTCTCTCTCTCTCTCTCTCTTTCTCTCTTTCCACTCTTGCTCCCCCAACACTCACTATCCCCCTTCTCTCTTCCTCCTTTCCCAATCTCATTCTCCCCTGCTCACCCCTTCTCTGCTCTTTCCCCTCCTTTACTCCCACTTCCCCCTCTCTTTTCCTCTCGCTCTCACTCTTCCCTCTCTTCCCTATCTTTTACTCTCACCTTTACTCTCACGCTTCCCCTCTCCTCTCCTCTCCTGCTTCTCTCTTCCTGCCACCCTCATCCTTTCGTGCTTGTAGGTGTGGAAGCTGCTAGCAGGTATGGAGGTAACAGCAGACGACATTGAGGAGGTAGACTTCCTCTTCATGCAGAGTCTGCGTGGCATCTGCAACATCCACGAGAGTGGCGTTACCAGCGACAACTTCTACGAGGTGCGAGTCTAGCTTGTGTCCGTCCGTCTGTCCGTCCGTCCATCCATCCATCAATCCATTCATCCATCTATCCATCAATCCATCCGTTCGTCCGTTCGTCCGTTCGTCCGTCTATCCATCCAGCCATCAATCCATTCATTCATCCATCCATCAATCCGTTCGTCTGTCGTCCGTCCGTCCGTCCGTCCGTCAATCCATCCATCCATCCGTCCATCTGTCTACCCACCGCTGTGGATATGGTTCTTGCGAATTGCCGTGCCTGTTTGCACGTGCGAAATACCGACTGAGCTAGGTAGAGAAAGAGAGAGGTGTCAGTGTGCACGCGAGCAGGTGTGTTCGATCGCTGAACGTGAAAAACGCGCCACGTGAAAAACCATCGCAATTAGTGTTGGTAACAAAGTGTGTTTCCTTACTCTCACACAGGCGGCCCTTCACGAACTCTCGTACAAGGTTTTCTTCGCAAAAAGAAACATTGCGGGTTTTGTTTATAGACGACTAATGTGGATTCGGCAGTGTGGCTGCGTTTTTTTTTGATTTTTTTTTACGCTATTTTAGAGCAGGTACCTGCAAGCATGCATGTGTGACGTTTTCTGTGAGACTCGTGCTTGTTAATAGTATTGCTATTGTAGTGTGTTTGCTAATGCTTTAATGCAGGTTATACCTCTGGACTGCTTCCTGGGTCAGAGTGCAGATGGCAGGTTTGTTCCTATCGTGCCGGGAGGCAAGAGCATTCCCCTGACCTTCAGCAACCGGTTGGAGTATGCGGAGAGAACAATTCAATACAGACTTCATGAGATTGATATGCAGGTATGTTCTGCTGTAGATGCCACGCTATTTCCGCATTTCAGTGTACACTGTGCAACTTATAGTGCTGACGTTTTTGCTATATACATAACCGTAATGGTAACTGCTGATTGTCAAATATTACTTAACGTGAACAGGTATCAAGGTGTAATGTTGACTACGACTGAGGTAGAGAGTTATAGTGAGCGTTTTCTATAAATGGCAGCACCGTGTGTGTGTATAGAGAATTATAGTGAACGTCTTGTTTATTAATGGCAGCAGCAAGTATAGGTATAGAGAGTGATAGTGAGCATGTTGTTTATAGGTGGCAGCAGTGAGGGAGGGTATGTCATGGATCATCCCCGTGCCGCTGTTGTCGTTGGCGACGGCTCAGCATCTTGAACAGCTTGTCTGCGGTATGCCTGAGATTCCCATCGACGTGCTCAAACAGGTCATCAGGTGAGTACGATCGCCAGCTTGTCTCAGTTACATCTCCTCCTCCCCTCGGCTATACCCATCTCTCCCTTCGCCCATATCATATCCCCTCTTTTCCCTCACCCGTGCAACAACCTCCCTCTCCCTTCATCTGCACCATATCCCCTTATTTCCCTTCCAATTATTGTAACATTGGAGGGTGTAGCACCTAAGATGATCAAGGATAGTAATCACACTATCTATGCGTGAGTTTAATTTCATCGTTGAATAATATCGTTGATAAAAGTAGATATAGTGAAATATTATATATCATTCTATGATACGTATATACATGATCTACGCTAGTGTATCACGTTTTTGATTACTGGGATGGATAGTTGTTTGGATGAAAGATGGATGGATGGATATATGGACAGAAGGACAGATGGATGGAATGATAGCTTGATAAAAGAACGTTTAGAATACATAAAATAGAATAGAATGTATTATTGCGAATCGGCACTATCGACAAAACTGCTATCGGATGTTTATCGTTGCAAACTGCAGGTATCGTGAGATCGATGAGACACACCAGCTGATCGTGTGGTTCTGGAACATCCTCGAACAGTTCGGCAACGACGAACGCGTGCTGTTCATGCGGTTCGTCTCGGGCCGCTCACGCCTGCCCGCGAACATCGCCGACATATCGCAACGCTTCCAGATCATGAAGGTTGACAGGGTGAGTTGTTCTTAGTGCTCATGCTGTTCTCACGCAGGGGGCGCTGTGCTCTCACGCAGGGGGCGCTGTGCTCTCACGCAGGGGGCGCTGTGCTCTCACGCAGGGGGCGCTGTGCTCTCACGAACGCAGGGGGCGCTGTGCTCTCACGCAGGGGGCGCTGTGCTCTCACGCAGGGGGCGCTGTGCTCTCACGCAGGGGCGCTGTGCTCCTATGCAGGGGGCGCTGTGCTCCAAAAACTTATTCGTCTGTCGGTTCTGAGGTTTCGTCTACAAATCGGTCAGTTAGATTTCGGAACGCTGAGTCAGTGGGAGTAGCAGGGGATTCATGCCTAGCATGCTCAGGTGCGTGCGTGCGCAGTTGCATGCATGCATGGGTGGGTGGGCGCATACATTGGTGGGTGGGTGCGTATGTGCGTGCATGTCTGCGTGCGTGAGTCGCGTGCTGGTGTCACGCACGGCTTGTGGGTCGAGTCTGCGTACATAAAAATCTAAATGAAGTAGATCTCACTAGGGAGGGGCAGACTCCTTAACTGTCGTGACCCTCGGTGCTCAGCTCACGTACGTATTCAACCTGCGACAGCACCTTAGCTTCAGTTTACACCTCTTCTCTGTCGGCCAGTAATCGCCTTACAACGATATCGTCGGTGACAGTGAGCTATTATACGTAGCCGCGTGCCTTATAGAATGGTGCACGTAATACGTATACGTGCTTGTAAAATACACCGAGGCAGCTCACTGTCCTGTGAGTGTTTTGAAGGCGACCCTCGGGACGCTTCTAGCTGTGATTAATCGCGTTCTGTGCTAGATATGCGTGATAGGTCTAGATCTGATGAGGCCCGACGACCATTATACACGCGCGCATGGCGTCGAGCCATCTACGCTAACAACTGTTATTGCTCATATTGCTCACAGCGCGCCATCGGCGAGGGCTGCAGGGAGTGAGTGTGGTCGGCGTGTGGGCGAGATGGAGTGATTGCTAAGCTCAGAGTTTGTTGCAGTCGTGCGCAAGGAATCGTAGCCGTACGCACGTTATAGTCGCGTCCACTGCCCGTTGGGACTCGTTACATTTCTTAACGGCCACTGCGGACGGAATGCATTTCACTTAGTCGCCATGACTACTACTAGTTAGAGCAGTGGCCACAGTCATGTAATTATATATAATTATATATATATATATATCCCCTGAGAATCGCGTTCTGTGCTAGATGTGCGTAATAAGTCTGATGAGGCCTGGTTATACCCGCATGCGTGGTATCGAGCCATCTACGCTAAGCTGTTATGCTAAGAGTTATGCTAAACTGTGACAGTATAGGTAAATGTGTTTTAATAAATTGGAAGTTGCACACTAAATCAATGGAGTGACAATGAAATTACAAAAAAATGTAAATTAAATATAACGTGATTTAAAATATTGGAAGATGCAATCAGAATTTTTTGTGGTGCATAGCGTACGACACAAATTGCAAGCAAGCTGACGCGCTGTGCATTCCCCGTGTTGTTCTTGCAGCCGCGGGACAGCCTTCCCACGTCGCAGACCTGCTTCTTCCAACTGCGCCTGCCTCCCTACTCCAGCCAGGAGGTGATGGCTGAGAGACTGCGCTACGCCATCCAGCACTGCCGCTCGATCGACATGGATAACTACATGTTGGCGCGCAACACCGACACGGCGCAGCCATCTGATGACGAGTATGAGTGACACGCAACGTGTGCGCGTCTGTGATCGTCTGCTACTGCTGCTGCTGCTGCTGTTGCTGCTGTTGCTACTGCTACTGCTGCTGCTGGTGGTGGTGGTGGTGGTGGTGGTGGCTGATGCAGCTACTTAATCGTGTGATTACTGTAGCAGCAGCTAAATGTCGTACTGGCGGATTTGGCAGGATAAACGCAGGTCACCGCTGAGGGCGGTGTCGTTGCCAGAGATCTATGGCAGAGCGTTCGCTGATAAAGTTGAATATATGTGAGCCTTCACGGAAGACGACTTACTAGTCATCATTATCTCTGCATTAACGGTTAAATTATATAATTATTGTAATATGATATTAGATTACATCACGCAGGATTTCGTTATAATGCAGTCGCGAGATTAGCAATATTACCCCCCACCCCCGTTGTTATTTGCGTATGTTCAGTATATACTGCTCTCTGAGTATATAGACTCGACTGATGTTCAAGCAAGGAGGAATCGCCGGTGTTGCCGGCATGGTAACGGGTTCAAAGGGCAGCAGATGACCGCATCGTCTCGATTGTGTCTGTAACCTTTCTGTGATGAAATGTACAGTAGGACTTAGCTGGTCTTGGACATTGTGAGTTAGCGGAATTCAGTCTATTCCACGCCTAGTAATTGCAGATATACAAAGGAATGAAGATAAATCAATGAAATCGCCCACGGGTTTGTATACGGTAAACTGAACGTGGTAATGGAACGAACTGTGTCTGTCACCCAGTGTGTACATTGGGTTCGCACTGAGTAGGTATCGCAGTACCTTCTTCAAAATATCAGCTTATGGAGGGTAAAATGAAATGTCATTGGGGATGTGCTCGTTAGATGTCGCCTTTTAGCGGGAGTGAAGAGTGAAGGGTGGGTGCTTCGTGGTTGTCTAGCAGCACTTATCGTGACACTTTCGCGCTCATTAAGCGAGCTGAGTGCCGAGGAACTGCAAATCCGCCGACTACTTTACACACACACGCACACGCACACGCACACGCACACGCGAGAACGCACGCACACACACCTGCAAACACGAGAGCATACACGCGCACGCACACCCGAGCACGCACATACGAGCATACACGCGCGCTCCCATGAGCACGCACAAACGAAGACACACACGAAGACACACACGCGCGCTCCCATGAGCACGCCCACACGAAGACACGCACACGAGAGTACGCGCGCGCACACACACACACGCACGCACGCACGCGCAGGCATATACACAATCACACCCACGCACACAAGCATGCACGCACACTCACTCACGCACGCACACCGGCACATTTACGCATGCACGCATACGCGCACACACACACACGCACACGTGCCCACACATACTCACACACACACACAAAAACACGCACACACGCGCACACACACACGCGCACCCACATACATACACACACGTACACAGACACGCACACGCACGCACGCACGCACGCACGCACGGACGCCCACGTATCGCGAGATTACGGGCGACGCATTAAATGTCGAGCCATGCGAGTGATGGATAAAATCAGTCTAGACGTGTTTGTCGCGGCGATGCTCGCTGTCTGGCGCCGACCCTTGTACGATACGTCGCCACGCCATCGTCACGGTAGCATAGCAATCGCTATAGACCTCGTTGTTCGATAGGGATGTCCATGATGCATTTGCAACGTTCCCGGGCTCAGTCTACGGTCAGACGCGGCGATTTTTTATACAGCGTTGAGTGATTTCGGAAACGTGAATTTCCGTACATTTAGGGGTGCATTTGCATAAAACATTTCAAAAACTCTTAGCTTGGTGTCACGACTCGTTTATTATATGCTTGCATACCGGGATGTACTAATTCTTCATATCATTTTATATATATCATTATAATGGCGACACAGCACACTCGCAGCGGTGAGTGCGGGCGCGGCTAGTTCTGCATTAGTTTTTGTGAAAGCAAGTTTATATACAGTGACACAACAGTGGAAGTGTAACTGAGGGGTAGTATTTGTGAATGTGCGTTCATATTAATTATTTTCAGTTTTTACTGACTGTCCCAAGTGCCTGTGTCTTAAAGTGGCAGCAGCTTGGAAGGCGCTCGGAAGCTGTTTCTGATTGTCGTGTGCTGCTTGCTCGCTAATAGCGCTGCAGTAGTTGCCGCTAACACGCACGCGGAGGTTTCGGCGCGTTGCGTGCAGCGTAACATATCGTCTGTCTTCGATTCGTTCGAGTCGTAGGATTACGTTATCATGACTCACGCAGCAACAAACGACCAACCGTTACGGTCAGCGTCGATGGCGGGTAGACATGGCGGTACACTGCAGGCGTTAACGACTGACTCCGGCCACACTGTAGGCGTTAACGACTGACCCCGGCTACACTGCAGGCGTTAATGACTGTTGTTAGACCAAAGTTCGTCTCCTTTCTCGCTAGGCAATGGCGGACATTATAACTTCGTACACTCGAGACTGCTGAGTGTTACATAGGCTAACCATTGATTTCTAGGTTGGGTGCTAAGGATAGCCAAATGCTCTCTTTTAGCTGCGTAGCATTGCCCGATGAATTCCCCAGATCATACTAAAACCGAATGCCGTCATTTATGTTACAAAATAACCGATGAAATGTGCGGCTGTAATTGGCTAATAATTATATGTCATGCGACTGCTTGCTGGCAATTAGAAACGATTCTAACTTACATTATTTGTCGTTGCGGTTTTCGCCGGACGTGATTGAATGCGCAGCAACTCACTGCAAAAAATACTTTCTAATTTTATCAAATGTCGTAAAACATTACAGTTGCTCGTTGTCGCTCTAATATGCCTTGGTCCTTTAAACGTAGTGCGTCAGCGTGTGTGGAGGACCATGACTGTTGATTCGTTGCTGGCTTGTATTGTGCTTTGATGGACGCACGCTATACAGCTGTAGCAGGGAGACGGACATAACTACTCATCGATTGCCGTAGATATACTTCTGTTCCTGTAATTGACTTGCGGTGTGCTGCCTAGCATCTTAGCGGGATTGCTTTAACTTGAACGGGGGGATTAAAGACGCTTATTTCATACAAGTATTATCAGTACGCATAAATAATATAGATAGGAATATCGGTTGGCGGCTAACGCATACATGAATCGGCTGCGTAGTATGTAACGGTTGCCGTGTTTAGATGTGCGCTATAGTATGTCGTTGTAAAGCGGCTGTGTATATTTTGCTGTGTAATATTTGTACAGGGGTGTTTTTTTGCGATTGCTAGTCATTACGTCGATGTATGTAACGAATTTGAGAATTCTTTGGCTGAAAATAAAACTTGGAATATTGTTATGTTATGAATTCTGTTACGCTACGCTGTGTTATGGGTATATACAAGTAGCCTAGGTGTGTTGATATGACTACCACCGTCACCCCCACCACCACCACAAACAACAACAAAAACAACAACACCACCATCATCATCATCATCGTCATTATCATCATCATCATCATCGTCGGCATCATGATCACCAGCAGCCAGCAGGAGCAGCAGCACTACGGTAAGGAGACATCGTGGGTGTCAAACTGCATGCAGTGCCCTTCCCACACTCAGGATAATACTCAGGATAATACACTCAGTAGAATTGAGCCAGAGCGAGAGCGCCATCTGTCGTGGAGTTTGCGTGGGTGTAAGCGTTCATTGCGTGGGTGTAAGCGTTCATTGTGTGGACGCGCGCGCGCACAGGCGTGCATCAGCACGTATAGGCGCCTGTCTGCCTGTGTGTGCGCGTGCGCTCTCGCGCAATGTCGCGCTTCACACTAACCTCAATACGATCAAGAACTAATAATGTAACTTGACATGATACGATAGATAGAATAATCGACGTGGGAGCTGTCTGACAATCTAGCCCATCCCTAGCGTATTAGATACGTCTCAGAATGAGATGAACGGCTTATCAGTTATTCATGCATAGCTGCGTTGCACCGACCAGTAATTGTGCAATTGTCATAACGGTCACCACGCTGGCTGCGGTTGTGTGTCGCCAAAGACTCGTTAACCGATTGCCACATTTGTCCACAGCGCTCGAGGGGTTTAACGTAGAAGCAGGACTTCTCGTACTACCCTCATACAGATCTGTGAAGCAGCGCGATAAACTACGTTTGGCCCGCCTACGTTCTGCCGTAGTTAATACCATATGCCCACTACCATATAATCATGTGTGACACAATGTTGGTTATATACGCATATATATCATATATATATATATATGATATATCGAGAGCTAATAAGGTCTATGTATTATTAGCTCTTGATATATCTCTTGATATATATATATATATATATTTATATATATATATATATAACATGTACATAGATCTATGTATGCACATTTATATTATGTCACTGTTGTTGTAATACTCGACCATACCCATGCAATGTCCATAACTAAAAACGATATTACACGTAATGCTACACGCGTTGCTAGACGAAGGACGTACCGCATCGTTGCCTACCCTACTATCGCCGATTTACGTGTAGATCGCGTGTCGCGCGCACACACGAAAAAGCTTTTGCGAACAAAGCGCCACAAATAATATAGGGGGCAGTCGATCTCGTTCGAAAGAGACGCGTACATACGTTCCTGCTTCTACACACGACGTGTGTATATGTGCGTGTGGGCGTGCGTGTGTGTGTGTGTGTGTGTGTGTGTGTGTGTGTGTGTGTGTGTGTGTGTGTGTGCGTGCGTGAGTGTGTGTGTTGTGTGTGTGTGTGTGGGTGTGTGTCGCGTGTGTGTGCGTGTCGTACGTGCGTGCGCGCGCCGCGGTGCGCGCGGCGCGTGGTGTGTGTATGTGGGACGTGCGTATGCATGTGTGCGTAATGTGTGAGGTGGGAGTGTGTGTGTGTGTGTGTTGTGGTTGCGCGCGCAGTGTGTGTGGGTATGTGTTGGTGGTGGCGTGCCGTACGTGCTGTGGTGTGTGTGTGTGTTACTGTGTCGCTGTGCGTGTGTGTGTGCGCGCGCGTGTGTGTGTCTGAGCGCCCGTACGTACGTATCAAGCATATCTGTGTGTTCACCATTGTCGTGTAACAACGCGCAGTATAATTATGGTAACCTATCACTGTGATCTAACCACAGGCCTGTGACGTGCGCAGAGACTTCTAACCGCCGGCTAGGAAATATGCTGTCACGCGAGTCGTCGTGACTTCATCTGCTATCATCTCCGCCCTGCTTGGATGCGTGCTGGCCAGCTCTGGTTATTACCTCCCATGTGCAAACTGCCAGTCGCTTGCCGACGTACCGGAAATCAACTGAGCTGTAATTTTTCCTTAATTCACTGCCTCAGTCTTCGTCGTCGGGAGGTTTCATAGAGAGAATCGATGTAGCCTGACAATGTTTTTTAAAGATTTCATGGTTTTCGGATGTCGCGTGTTACGTGCGCATTGTTATATCTCTCATACTAAAGGCGACAAAATAGAATTTTAGATGCAATACTAGAAACGCGTAATTCACGAAATATGGAAAATTATTTATGAAATATAATAATTTCAGGATGAATTCTAATACTTGTGTTTCTCACGATAATAATAGTTAAATATTTTTACTAGAGACCACAAAGGAATGTGCTGCTGAAAAACGTAATCTTTCACAATTTTTTCGATGTTAAGATAAAATATTTTACTTAGAAGTAGATTACTAGTAATAAACTAAGTAGAGTGGTAGGATTACTGGTTCTTTAGACCAATATATGGCAAGCAATTTCCTTTACCGTTTTCAAAGGCTTATCGCTGTTTCGTTCGCGAACACTGCTTTAGTTTGTCAAACAACAAAATTCTGACTTCGCCATTTACCCAGTGTATACCTTAACCTACGTAGCCTTTTCATACATTAATTCACTCATTCATTGCTCTGCAGCTTTGAATGATCCGGTCGGTGCAATAGGCTTTGCAATGGCGGACAAGGTCTCTCTCTCTCCCTTTCCCCCTTTCTCTCTATCAGGGGTTTTTAACCTGTGGTCCATGTACCATGTGTGTGTGTGTGTGTGTGGGGGGGGGGTGTAGCCACCGCGCGATCGATAGCGCGTCGAGTCAGCGAGTGGCGAGCCAGCAGCAGCCACCAGTGAGCGGCGAATTGATAGCGCGTCGAGTCAGCGAGTGGCGAGTCAGCAGCAGCCACCAGTGAGCGGCGAATTGATAGCGCGTCGAGTCAGCGAGTGGCGAGTCAGCA